AGAGAGGTTAAGTAACTTGTCCAGATTTGAATCCAGGTCCATCCAACTCCAACCCCAAGAAAGAGGCTATTTTTAGCACCCAAAAGCAATTATTGCTGGAGCTATTATTATTATTCATGCAAACAGCTCTGACTACTTAAGAAAATAGACCTGATAGATGGTAACAAAGCACAATGGACACGCTGACCTTCTGGGAGCTTCTTTTTATTTTAATCCATAAGATAAACACAGCGACGAGCCCCATCTCTGCAGGAAATGTTTTAAATCCCCATCTTTTCGGACTGGATTTACTCATCCAACTTCACAAAGAAAATAACTCCACTCAGCTTGACAGAGTCCACAGTGAAAAGGAAATTATTTTTCTGGAAATGACCCTAAAAATAGCATGGAATGGGCCTGCTTACAGAAACCAGAGGCAGTAAGACTGAATATGTTAGTTTTAAGGGCACAAATGTGTTTTGAAACAGAGATTCTTCTGTGGTCTTGAGAAGAAAAAATTGATTTTCCAGAGAGCACGATAAAACATGTGGGAAAACAACTTTGGAGTAAAAACAGCGTGAACTTTGAGAGGAAGGCAGAGCACTCAGTCCGTCTTATATGCCTACCCCACCACGGGAGCCAAGAAGAAGTTCCCCCCGCCACATCGCTCTGTTTATTTCTTTTCATGCCCTCTTAGCACAAATTAAAAGACAAGGAAATGTTGATGAAACCAGACCAAAGGATGGCTCAGCTTTGCAATCCACTGCCTCCCAGGGAGAGGTGTGCAAATGGCTGGTTTCTAGAAAAGAGCCACAAACTAGCCTCTTTTAGGTAGCATTTTCTCTCCAAGGCAGATCTGAGTAGACAACTTATGCCTCAAACAACCGTATTTTGTTTAGTCATTCATCTGTCCAGCACTTATTAAATGCCTTCTGGATGCATTGCACCATATCAGACACCAAAGACCACTACAAGACCCCACCTTTGGAAAGTGAAGTCAGCGTTCAGTGAGGACTTGGAACATACACAGAGGAATCAAGTGTGTGACGATACTTTCCCAGTCTAGAGGTTAAGAATCGGAATGCTGGAGCCAGGCAGCCCCAGGTTCAAGCCCTGGGTCTACACTTACCTGCAGAAAAAATTGGGGCAAATTAACCTAAGCCTCAATTTCCTCATCTGTAAAATGGGGATAACAAAAGCACCTTTCTCTTAGGGAATTCCCTGGCGGTCCAGTGGTTAGGACCCTGAGCTTCCACTGCCAGGGGCCCAAGTTCAATCCCTCATCCGGGAGCTAAGCTCCCATATGCTGCACGGCAGGCCAAAAAACGAAAACAAAACCCAAAAAACCCAGAAAAACAAATGCACCTTTCTCTTCAAGTCAACCCCGAATTTTGCAATTCATGTAAAAATGCCTGGTGGGAGTGGGGTTATTCTGTGGGAAGTGGGCAGAAAGACTGACTGTTCCTTCTGAGTCAACCCCGAATCGGCACCATGTGTAATAAGGGGCAGCTGAGAGAGTTGGCCAGAAAGGCCAGAACCCAACCCAACACAACAGAAATGAACGCCTCTAGAAACTTCTCAGAAACCTGGGGCCAAGCACCAAACTGCCACTGGCATAAAATAGGGTTTGAGACAAACTCTAACTACGAGGTAAGAGGTATGGACACCACAGACAAGAACTGAGTTATTTGAAACACACGTTGGGTTGACTCAGGGGCAGTGGGTGGCATGATCTGACGCACAGACTCAGATACCAGGTAGACCCTGGTTGCAATTGACCAAATACATGACCTTGGGCAAGTCCCCATGACCTTCAAGCCTCAGTTTCCCTGCCTGTAAAATGGGAGATAACAACACCTACGGTGCAGGTGAGAGTTACAGAAAGTGCCTGGCACACAGGAGATATGCCAGCAAAGGTAGCTACTGTTACGGAACTGAATTGAATCCGGCAGAAGACAGCTCCCCGGGAGCACAGAAAGGCTGGAGCCTGTTGAAACAACTTTGCTCTTTTCCTGTATTTCTGGCAGACATGTCCACAAGCAAAGACTTGACATTTAAGTTGATAGTGCAAGCAGAGTAGCTGTTCCCACATGTGCAGTGTCGCTGTCCTCCCTGAGAAGTTGGCTGTGGCCAAGGGGATTTAATAAACCTGGGGCCACAGATGCCTGGGGCTGGAGCCCAACGGGGTGTGTAATGGAAACACGGATATAATTAAGAGGCGGTTCATTTGCAATGTTATGCACTGGTTGGTTAATTCTTTCAAGATGCTAAACAGCCCTTCCCTGGGGCTTCGGTAATTGACTCTGTCAAGGCATCTCACACTGCTGTCTAGAGACTTCTGCTTAAACAACCTGCTAACTCACTTTAACACACGCACGCTCACTTTCTATGCTCCTTAACAGACAGGTCTGAGCAGAAGTGCCAGGGTGGAGAGTCTGCTTGGGAGGAACGGGGAGGAAGAGAGGGCTGGGGAAGGACTTAGATGGGAAGAAGTGCTGTCTGCAGAGAGAGCAATAGAGGGAGAAAGAGGAAGTGAGACAGGCTCCCACGCTGAGGTCCTGAGGTTGGAGATAGATGGGCCCCAGGCTGAACAGCTGCAACCAGTCTCCTGCTGACACCTTGAGATAAGAGACCAGCAGGAGCAGAGCCCCGATTGGGTGGAAGACAAAGCGACCACATTTTTCTCATTCTTGTGGTCAAGGGGACTTTCCAGCAGACCCATGTGCAGAGAAGGTCCTCAGCCTAGGGAGGGGCCAAAGGAAGGCCGAATTGCCAACCCATAACGTGTCCTGCCAACCTCCCAGAATCCATCTTGACTGAGGAATGCCGTGCACTCACCAGGAAGGATCCTGAGTCAGGCCAAATATGGGCACAAGCAAGATGATTGGCCAGAGACAACCCAGAAGACTGCCCACATATAAACGATCTCAGCCACCCTCATTGGGCGTAACTCACTCCCCAAGTTCGCCCGTGTGTTCTTTGCTTCTAATAAACACTTCATCTGCTTCGTAAGCTCTGTCTCTTTGCTGAATTCTTTCTTCAACGAAGACGAGGACTGGGGGCCTGCTTCAAGCTGCCACACCCTTCTCACTCCCTCTCGCCCACCCTGAGATCAGTCAGGCCACCTGGGTTCAGACCTGCTTTCACTGCTTACCAGCTGTGTGACCTCGACAAAGCTCCTGGAGCCTCAGCTCTTTGTGAAATGGGGATAAATACCTTCACCTCAAATGAATTGTTGCAAGGATTCAAAGTAACATAATGCAGAGTGCCTGGAACTGTGAGGGTGTTTAATAAGCACTGGCTGTTTCACTCGCAGAGGGACCAGGCTGAGCGATGATAACACATCGGGACAAAATCAGAAGAGTTTGCAGCTGGTTCAGGAGAACCAGTACAGGCTCTGCCTGTTGCACTAGGAACCTGCGGTGTGACCTCAGGCAAGGTCCTTAACCTCTCCATGCCTCGGTTCTTCTTTGGAAAATTGGAGTTGTAATACGTCCCGGGGAGGGGTGCATGAGGACGAAATGGAACCTGGCACATAACAGACCCTCAAGAAACGGTGGGTCCAAGCCTTTGTCCACCTTCAAGTTTGGCTCTACTTGAAAGCCTGATCTCCAGGCACGAGTGGCCAGGCAGCTGCTTCCTATGGATTCCATAGGTACCGAAACTAGCAGTTGATTCCCCGAGGAGGCCCAACCTATTCTGAATGCTTAATCAGCCCCACTGATTGCCCTTCCTGGATCCACGCAGACTTCTCCTGACCTGGCTCAAGCTGTCTTGGAAGCCAGACAGGGGAGCGGAGCCTTGGTCAGCCCCCGCATCTGCTGGGAGTAAGGGAGATTTCCCCAAATAAGTCCCCTTCCAGCCACTTAGATGGCAGCCGGGGGGATGCGGAAGCCCTTTCACTGATCCATGACGACCCTGGCTCCCCTTCCTCATGACGCCCCTCACGATGGAGAGAGGGCTGGTATAATGGTGGGTGCCCATCATCCAGCTTCCTGTCCCAGGAGTTGGGGGAAAGGACAGGAATTAGCTTCCAGATGTATCACAGTGAGCATTAATACCCTTCCAGTCCAGCCTCCCCCAGTCCACCACCCCCAGTCATCTTTCTACAACACAAATTTCACCATCTCATCCATGGGCTCACAAACATCCAGTAGCTTCCAGTGACCCAGGGTAAAGCCCACAACCAAACACAGCTCACAAGGTCCTCTGGACTCTGATCTCTGCCAACCACTTTGGATTCATTGACCCCACCCCCTGCCCCGTCCCCTGACGTCCTTCCCCAGACTTGCTACACAAATCACTCTGCAAGCATACTGTGCAGTTCCACACCTTCGTGCGTTCGCACCTGCTCTTCTCTCTCCCTGAAAGGCCCACCCTCGTTCTCCATCTGGAAAATGCTTCCTCATCCTTCGGTACGTAACTGACATCAACTCCCCGCCTGGCGCTCCCCGGCACCTCCCCAGAGTCAGCCACCTTCCCTGCATTTCTGTTATGCTTTGTGAATAGTCACTCTTTCCTTCTCTCGAGATGTACCGAGGCCCTGCCGTGTTCCAGGCACCGAGCAAGACCCTGAGGTCAGAGAACAAGACAAGCCCCTGGGCCACGAAGCCACGGTCCAGCTGCTGGAATCAAGCAGAAAACACGGGAGTGCCAGAAAGTTGCCGAGGTACACGGTGATGACAGAAAAGTGCAGGGTGCTGAGCGAGCCTGGGAGGACAGCCTCAGCCTAGTCTGGGGAACAGCAACCCCCCACCCCACCCCAGGGATGTGCTGTTTAAACTAGGATGTAAAGAATGAATAAGCATTAGCCAGAGAAAGAGGAGGAGAAAGACAGAGAGCAGGTATAGACCCCGCAGCATATAGATGCCAGGGTGGACTCGACACTCCTAAGCCACTGCCCACTTCTCCCCAGGCCTGCCCTGCCTCGCCAGGAAGTCTTTAGGCGCAGAGAGTCCCACGGTCACTGTGACATATCCGTCCCACCCCCCTCTGGCCAGGTTTTAATCCGCCGTCCTGACCTGCAGACAGTGGCCCGGCTTCCAGTCAGTATCTATCAGTCGGGCTCTGGGTAAGTCAGTCCATGGAGCCAGCAGAACGTGGTACCGTCTCCGCCCTCCTCCAGCGACGTGTCTGCCATTCTCACAGGCTATACGTTGCTCCTTGGCGTTTATCACACTCTAGGATACAATATATTTGTTTATTAATTACTACTTTTGTCTATCCTTCCCACGCCTAAACCTAGAAGGTAAGTTCAGGGCTTTTTATCACTTTCTTCTCTGCTGTATCCCAGCATTTGGAACAGGGTGTGTGGGGGGCATTGCAGGGGCTCAGTATGTATTTTGGAATGAAAGGTAAATACAGGCACATGTGCATTTTTCTGGGAAGAGGATTTTCATCAAGTTCTCAAAGGGACCTGTACCCCAAAAGAGATCATGAACCACCAACTTAGCAGACCGTCTAGATCCCTTCCGGTTCCAGCTTCTGGGATCCTAGTGCCAAGGCAAGTGCCTCGCTGGAGAGTGAGGGATGCTCAGTCCAAGTCCTAGGAGACAACTGGTCCATTCAAAAGGGTGGACCAACATCACTTGACCAGTGGACCACTGCTGGGGGGCAGGGACAGTAGCCATCCTAAGGCTGGGTAATATATATCGATTGAATTGAGTCCTGATTTGAACGAATGGACAGAATGTCCATGAAAATCATCCATAACATTTGGATATAATCAGCCTTTCAGGCATCTTGACTAAAAGTAGATTCACCAGCCCTACAATGTGCCCAGTATTGTGCTTGTGGTTAGGGGAGAGGGTTCCTGTTCACAACAGAGTGGAACAAATGTACTTGACATGGGGGAGGGGGGTTAAAGCTTCGTAATCCACGTCTCCATTCTGTGGATGAGTCTGTTTAACCAGCCCAGGCACAAAGCTTTAATGAAATAAACAATGTCACCAGTATTTTAAAAACGGACTTGGTGAAGTGATGCATGGCACGTTGTAGAGAGAGCTCATCACAGCCTGGGTGGCATCTGAACAAGACAGGGTTTGTCAGCTGAAAATTTCAAACCAATTAGATTTATGTCATGGAATCAGATAAACAGACCAAGGTTTGCAAAAATCGGATAAACTTGGAATCACTGCAAACAATGACACCCACATACGCGCCTTCTTGGCGCTGAGCTTGCTGACCTCTGAATTATTTAGCAAGGAAAGAGATGGTACAGTGTGTTATGTATCACTGGAAAATAGTCAACTGGAGGTTTCCCGAAGCCACTTGCAAGGTCCAACTCAGTTCCAAAGGAACAGCCGAAATGCCCCCTTCTCCACCCCTCCCTACCACTCCGCAGAAATGCCCTTCAAAACAAATACCTGCTCACAGCCCCACTGGTTCCTTCCGGGTAGCCTCACAGCACTTCCAAAAACAAATGAAGAGGCTCCCACATTGCAGTTCCCACCGTTTCAATTTACGCTTCCAGTTGAGATGCATTCAAAGGAGAAAATTAACATTAAATGTGAATCTGGGTAGCTGCTTTCTGACTCTAGATTCCTTACTACATTTTCCTCTGTCACTCTCACCTCCCCTGACCCCACTGTAGTGAGCTCACTCTGGGCTGTCAAAGACCCCAGTGGAGCCGCGTGTCATCAAACTTGTGACACCCCAACTCTAGCAATGGCGCCAGACTCCTTGTCTGTTGCCAGGTAACTTCTAGCAGAGAAAAAGTCTCTTGCAGGGAAGGAGGGAGAGGAGAAGACCCAAACAAGGTCAGCGTCTCTGAGGAGACAGCCATGTTAGCACACATGCTCGTTTAATAATCTCAATAACCCCACAAGGTGGACAAAAATCAATCCTCGCTTTACAGACAGGGAAACTGAGCCTCAGAGGAGTGAACTCCTTATCTGGGATGTAAACGTGAGGTTGCATTCTGTCTAACACCTGAATCTATTCTTTCTCATTCACCAGACGGCCTCTTATGACAGTGATCTGAGCACTTTGTCCTCTGCCAGCCTGCCTTCCTGGGATTGAGTGCAGATAAATATATTCTATTAGGAATTTAACAGCAGATATAATACTACTAGTGGCCAGATAAATGAGTACAGGTACCAACAGAAAATGACTATACCTGCATTTTGTATTTAATACGGCTATTTTATCAAAAAGTGTTTGGAATTAATAAAATTATTTTAAACCACCGAAACGAATCATCCACTATAATTTGAAGACATTAACTGTATAAACATTACAAAATGTTAAGCACTACAATGAGCACAGAAAATATAAGCAATACATATTATACTTTAATACAAATTATTAGCAGATACAATTTAATAAAATATAACAAAAATAACATAGTCAACATTGAAAAAAATTAAAAGGAATTTTTAGTAACTGGGAAAATTTAAAATAAAATATTATGATTCTTTAAATGCAATCATTAAAAAGTAAAAGTGTGAGGGGCTTCCCTGGTGGCGCAGTGGTTGAGAGTCCGCCTGCCGATGCAAGGGACACGGGTTCGTGCCCCGGTCCGGGAAGATCCCACATGCCGCGGAGCGGCTGGGCCCGTGAGCCATGGCCGCTGAGCCTGCGCGTCCGGAGCCTGTGCTCCGCAACGGGAGAGGCCACAACAGTGAGAGGCCCGCGTACCGCAAAAATAAAATAAAATAAAAAATAAAAGTGTGTATCAATGATGTCACAGTTGAGTCCCGAGCATCTTCTTGTGAAAAATTTTCAAGGTGTTTAAAACATCTACTCAGAGGAATGGAGAGGAAACAGCTAATCCAAATATTTCCCTCTGACACTTTCATATTCAAATATCTTTGAGATCCTTTGGAATAACTGATTTCTTCACAGAGAGTATAATTTTTTTTTTTTTTTTTTTTTTTTTGCGGTACGCGGGCCTCTCAATGCTGTGGCCTCTCCCGCCGCGAAGCACAGGCTCCGGACGCGCAGGCCCCGCGGCCATGGCCCACGGGCCCAGCCGCTCCGCGGCATGTGGGATCTTCCCATACCGGGGCACGAACCCGTGTCCCCTGCATCGGCAGGCGGACTCCCAACCACTGCGCCACCAGAGAAGCCCGAGAGTATAATTTTTATTGATAGGAGCCTGGAATTTTGTTTTAAGGAAATTGTTTTACCAGCTCACCTTCAAGTTCTTTCATTTCTTCATAGACAGTTACAGAATCATTTGATTCAGCTGTTGCTGCAGAGTGCCCTGTGTCAGTTTTGAAGCTATCACGTTCACATCCCACTTACATGGAGAATTTTTATTAGTAGTATCTTTGTAACACATGCTTTGCTTTGTCAAATAAATATATTTTTTTCCTTCTCTTGAGGATAAGGGAGATGAGAAAGATGTTTTCTAAACAAGTGATCTTTTGTTCAATTAGAACATTCAATGCAGCATAAAACTCTCTTAAAATCTCAAGATGTAAATGATTCAGCTTTCAGATTTCCTAAAATACCAAAATAACGGTATTACATTTTTTAAAGGCAGTATTTTGGTATTTAAAAATAGCATAGTATACGGGAATACAAAAAAAAAAAAATTTACTGCATTCATTAGCCCAGTTGCTAGGAAACCTGTGAGCAAGCCTAAAGCTAGGGTATAGGTAGGTAAAAGGGTCCTTCTTTAAGCAAAATAAGAAAAACCAGAATTAATTTTAGCAATCATGGGTAATAAAGAATGCAAGACGATAAGATGATACTAAATTGTATTGACGAGTTTGTATTCCTTTAGAACATGCTCTTAATTACATCCTCCACTGAATAAGTATAAATACTAATCATTAGAAATAATTAGACATGCTTGTTATTCTTCTAAATATTATCTTTATTTTCAAATAGCGCATTGATATTTTCATTCTCCATGGTTAAATAAAGACTCTGTGGGTGGATTCATCCCCACAGTAAAGGCATCATGGATAGACGAACAGACAACTTGAACTGCAAGTAGTTTGAAGTGTTAGCCATGTGCATCCTGACCTATAACATACGACAAGTAAAAGAGGAGCCAGTTCTTGACAAAGAGGGAAAAGATGAAAATGTTTTCAAAAAATTAATCAGAGTTCTGCTTCTTGCTGAGTCAGCTCCTATTGGACTTACTCTCCCACAAATAACAACAATTCAGGGGGCAGAGGACACAACTACATGAAGGCACTGGAAAGTCAGCCAACGCAGGCAGATTTCAGAGAGGAGGTGACATTGGAAGAAAGAAATGGCAGGAAGTAGGTTTCCTGACTTTTTATATTTTTTAGCCTAGGGTCAGGCCACAGTCAGTGCTACATGGGAAGGTAAAACTCTGATAGAAAAACCACAATCCTTCTGGCCTGAATAACTGGAAGGCAGAGTTCAAAGCAACTACAGCCACTGGAAAGTGAGGAATGTGGGGAATCCTAAAAGGGAGAGCTACAGAGAGGAAAGGCCCCAGAATTCTGTAAATAAACTTTGCCCAAATCTCTGTCTAATCCCTGAATAGCATGGGGAAGACTCCAAGAAGCCTAGGTATGGTTTAAAAAAATAAATAAATAAACTGAGGTATTAGCCACCAATCAAGAGACAGATTTTACAATTTTAGTTCAACCAAGTTAACTGCCTACAAAAAACCAAACACTCTTTGGAAAAGTAAAACAATCTTATGTCTCTGTGGTATAATACTCACAATGTCTAAGATATAAAACAAAATTACTCATCATGCAAAGAAATAGGAAAATGTAGCCCATTCACAAGTGCTACTATAACTGCTCAAAGATTTAAAGGAAAATATGATCATAATAAATAAAAAGATAGGAAACTTCATCAGGAAAAGAAAATGCAAAAAGAAACCAAACAGAAATTCTAGAACTGAAAAAATACAGTATATGAAATAAAAAACTCAATGGACAAGTATAATGGCAGAATGGAAATGACAGAGGAAAGAGTTGTTCACCTTGACTACAGGTCAACAGAAATTATCCAATCTGAAGAACATACGGGAAAAAAAAACATTTTTTTCAAAAATGAATAGAACATCTGAAACTTTCAGAGCAATATTAAGAGGTCTAAGAAGATCATTCAGGCAGCCTAGGAGCAAAAAACCTGGATCCAGGAGAATGGATCTCACAGCCGTGTGGGCACAGTGACTAGGATGTTAGTCATGGGTCTGTGGAAAGGAAATACCAGATTCAAGAAATATTGGGAAGAAGGAAAC